GGGCTCCCAGCCTGGATAGGCTGGTCAGGCTGGTTGTAGCTGGTCATCTGCCAGCTTGACCAGGCTGGAAATGGCCAAAACCCCTCTAAAACCAGGCTGGAAATGGTTGGAAACCAGTCTGGAAATGGCCAAAACCCCTCTAAAACCAGCCTGGTCGACCAGCTAAAGCTAGCTTAGGCTGGTTTTAGCTTTTTTTCAGTAATGAAAAATGTAAAACAGGAAATACACTGTGGGCAATTGTTATTGTTTACATCACTCAAAATAGTGTTTATGTCATTTTTGACAAAAATTATTTTTAAAATAAAAATAGGCTACAATTTAAGTTATTATACGTTCCTATTATATTATTAATATTTTATTAATTATTATTTATTAAATTATTTAATTTATTATAACTATTTTACGATCCAATTATTTGAATACAGATTTTAATGGAGCGGTTATTAGTGTGTTAAAATGTTTACTTCTGAACGTTTGTTTATTTTTATCTATTAATTAATTTATTTTTATTCTGGGGTCTAGACTGTTCTAGACGTACCTTCCCGTAAGTGTTTGCGACAGCTCTTCGCGCGCACGCGGCAGCATGACGGAACACGGCAGCGAGAAGATGGCGGAAGAAGAGCGGAATGCCAGTGCAGAGAAACTCAAGGAGAAGGCTAATGACTACTTTAAAGGTACAATCATGCCAAATACCCGCTGCAGATAAGAGACTGTACTGATGTCGACTGTATAGGGCCGTGTTGCGTGAGTTTGCGGTTTGATGATGACTGGTGAGATCAATAAAAGGGCAGCGTGTGTGAGACAAGCACACACATGATGAATCAGAGACACACACCACCATAGACTTTTCTGCTCGTAATTCATACTTATGATAAATAAACTCGACGATGACGTGGGAGATGACGTAACACACGTACTTAGAGAGCTGCTGTTCTGTCAGGTGTATGAATGTTGGTTGGCTGTCATTACCACAGTATTAAGACTTTAATACCCTCACAAGAGCAAGGTGATCACGTGTTTTCGCTGAATACATAGTTTATTTTCGGTTTCTGTCTGCTTTTCATTCATTTTATATCGGGAAATTATCATCCTGCTGTTTTGACAGGTAGTTATTTTGATACTTGTGCTTATCCTATGGTCATTTCTGAAAAATACTTAACACGAGTTAAACTGTGGGGTGTTTGTGTTGAGGTAAAGTTGGTTTTATATTCGCACATTTCTTCATTCAACGTTCCCTGTTTTATTTAATACGCTAATTTGAATATAGGGTCTAATATCGCATGTAAATATGACTTGAAAAAGACATTAGCACTATTTAATTGACTGTGAATAATGTTGTACTTTGATATTCATTGGCTGCTAATATGATTTCACTATTTAGAATTTGTAAACATTACTTTTCTAAAATTATATTATTAAGGAGAAAGTCTGAATGTGCGAATATAAAAGCAACTTTATCAATGATATGTGTTGCATTTGAAAAGGCAAGGCAAGTTTATTTATATAGCACATTTCATACACAGTGGCAATTCAAAGTGCTTTACATAAACAGGAATAAAAGACGTGTATATAAGAAAAAAATAAAGACAAATAGTATTAAAAACAGGTTTTATATGAATGAAAAAGAAGATAAAGACATAGTAGCGCAATCTGTCGGACAGCACAGTGCTCATTCAGTCAAGGCGCATCTAAACAGATGTGTTTCAGTCTTGATTTGAATGTGCCTAATGTTGGAGCATATCTGATCATTTCTGGACGCTGATTCCAGCAGCAGGGGGCGTAGTTGCTGAAAGCTGATTCACCCTGCTTTGACTGAACTTGGAATTTCTAGTTTATAGAATTTCTAGCAGGGTGTTTACACCTCTAGTTTGGAAAAAGTCAGGAAAGTGGGTGTGTCCAGCTCTGTTTAGGTGGGAGGGAAAAGGGGAAGGTTTTTAAAAAAAATGGGAGTTTCCTTTTGGGCACGCGCTGATTTTAACCGAGACAAAACGAACACACTTGACTGTGTTTAATGACTGTAGAATGTTTGATACCGCACGTCGTATAAGAGAAAAAAAAAACTCTGCATTTCTCGGTAGCTCAGATGCAGTCGGTAGGTCAGAAAGCTGTGTTGTGTAGACTATCCTGTCTCAAAATGCGGCGAAAATTAAACACGGCGGTCGGTAATAGTTTGATTGCAGTGGTCATGTTTACACTCTGAGAGCAGCATTTACAGCAGATCTTTCAGTCCATAATATTGTAGTGATATTAACGTAAACTAAGTAACTTAGAAATCATTTTGACTAAGGTCTGTATTAACACTGAAAGAGTGCTGCTGAAGATACGAACTATAACTTTGCCATCTGAATGAACAAAGAAAGGGCACTGATTGTACACACTTACCAAATCTGTAGAGACAACACATACTGGAACCGCGTCTTTATTAAAAGGAGACGAGCAGCAAATCCAGTTTTCACAATTTCCAGATGAGAAAAGCTCTCGAATAAAAAAATTTTAGTACAAACGTAATTCAGCCGCGCGTCGTGTGCAGTAATCCACACATAATCACATTATAAAAGCAACACTAACGACCCGTATCTCCAAACAATTTTTATTCTTTTCCGTCCTCTTTTGCCAAAACAACGCGGCGTTTCTCTGCCGTCTGAACACTGTTTCAGGTACAAACAGTCTTGGAAGCTATTATGCATATTAATGAAGTTGCACCGCATACACATTAGAGCGCGCTGATTGGTTTCAACCAAGTCTTACTCAAGAATAAATGCAGCACACTCAGAGACGTAATAAGGCACTCCCTGGTACAGACGTCCACTCTACACGCTGTAATACACGCTAAAATCTCATGGCCGTGACGCAGCTTCAAAAATTCATTTCAAACCGGAAGTGTGAATTTGCGTGAAATAATGCAAAAACAACCAATTTTCACTTTTTAGCTGAATATAGGTGTCCTAATAGTGTTTTTAGCAGTGTGGGACACATATACGACTGTCAACAGCTCAAAACATGTGTTTTTTCCAGCTGAATAATCCAGTTTAATCCAGCTTAGGCTGGTTGGCTGGTTTTAGCTGATCGACCAGCCTGGTTTTAGATGGGTTTTGGCCATTTCCTAGCCAAATGGCCTAGCCTAGCCCAGCCAAAACCAGCTACGTCCAGCTTAAACCAGGCTGGTCAAGTTGGTTTTAGCTGGTCATTTTCCAGCTTGACCAGGCTGGAAATGGCCAAAACCCCTCTAAAACCAGGCTGAAAATGGGTGGAAACCAGCCTGGAAATGGCCAAAACCCATCTAAAAGCAGGATGGTTGACCAGCTAAAACCAGACAGCCATTCTAGGCTGGTTTAAGCTGGATTTTTCAGCAGGGTTGGTGTTTTGTGACCCTTTATAGAGACAGGACTACATTCACACATGTGCCGAGAACTGTTTGACCAGGCTGTGGATTAAAGCTAATAACATTGTAAACAATGTGTAATTTCTTAAACCGAGCGATCATTTTGCTTCACAAGAGCTCAGTGTGGCATCATGACTATTGGTTTGAACTCGTCTGTATGCGTTTATTTTTGAATCTCAAAAGCTTGCCCGTTCACTGCCATTATATCAATCACAAAAGACCACGTATCCTGCTCAAATGTTCTACTGAAGAAGTGGATGACCTGTGGGCGAGTAAATGAACAGGAAGTTTTCATTTTTGAATCTTGTTTTGAGTCCTGTTTGGGATGGCAGGCTCACTTAAGTTAAAATAAGTACTCCGAAGAATGTCTTGTCCATTGATTTATCTACTATATTCCGATAATTCTTCTATTTAATATTGTTATTGCAGATAAAGACTATGAGAACGCCATCAAGTATTACACAGAAGCACTGGATCTCAACCCAACCAATCCCATATACTACAGTAACCGGAGTCTGTCGTATCTGCGCACCGAGTGCTATGGCTATGCGCTGGCCGATGCCACCCGAGCCCTGGAGCTGGACAAGAACTACCTTAAGGGCTACTATCGGCGAGCCACCTCCAACATGGCCCTGGGGAAGTTTAAAGCAGCACTCAAAGATTATGAAACGGTAAGACTCTCCTGAAGTTACATGGACTGTTTTCACTAGACAAGACTGTTATGATGTATGTAACGGTCATCAGTAGGGGTGTATCATATTATAACCCACAGTTTGAAACACGTGTGACCCGCGGATTAATAACTTCTTGTGAATTCATAGGTTAATCCAGCATTTATAACAATTGCAGAGAGATCTCCTCTCGTGTTGTTTAAATTACGTGTATGAAAGCTTTTAGGCTTTCCTGTGAAATATAATGATGACGGAAAAAAATGTTGTGTTGGGACCTACCTTAATAGGTTTGTAGGCGTTTAATTAAAGGTGTTTTAATGCATTAATGCATTCAGTGTAAAGCTGCATGATTAAACATTAAAAGATCAGTATCTAAGTTCAATCCCGCGCAACATGAAGGATAAATGATAATGATTTGTATGTGTTCATTAATCCTTTGAAGCGATGCATTTAAATCTGTGTTTAAATGAGAGAGATTCAGTTTTACACTTTTTCAGTGAGTGACAAACAATTAAATAACACAGAAGTACTGGGGTCCAGGTTTTAGTTTAGATATAAACACGGATGTTTATGGTAAAGATTAAAATCACCATTTAAAGGGCACGTATGGTGAAAAATCTACATTTGAAAGAGTTTGGACAGACGTGTGTATGTTTAGTGCATAGACCGTCATAGTGGGGTGATATGAACACACACAGTCCTTTTGTTTCAATTTGACAACATAAAAACGGTGGACCAATTGGAGCGGTTTTCAGAGTCCGAGTCGTACATGTACGGCTGAATGGTGATCCTCTCATGTAGCTTAGCTTCTCTCTGTCTGTTGCAAACACAGAGCGGATGAGCTCTGGCTCCGCCCCCTTGTTTCGTTGGGTGCGAAGCCGAAACTAATTTTCATGTGAAGCAACACGCCCCTAAAACAGCGAGCTGTGTAAACGCCCCCAACATGACACTTAACATATTATAATAAAAACATCTGAACTGTGTGTTGAACTCAACCTAAACTGACACACTCAGAAGAACCATAATATTAATATTAAATCATAAAAAGGGGTAAACTATGTGCCCTTTAATGGAACTTGGCGCTAGTGAATGTTTTAGCAATAACATTATTTAACCAACAGGTGGCGACAAACAACCATCAAAATCATGTCACCGAGTACGTTTTCAAAAATGATCCACCTATAATAAAACAAAGTTTTCTGTGGGAATTGTTGAATCGTTAATTGAAAATAAATATGATAACGTTGTGCAAGATGTTAGATTTCTATATTTAGGATTATCAGCAACAGCAGCAAAGATCATTTTTTATATTCAATACTTTTCTTTTTTCAGATGGTTCTTCCTTGATGTTTATTTTTTATTAAAATTACAGGTTCTAAGTTCTGTTTGCCGTATCTCCTTAATAAAATACCTCTTGTATATCCTGTAAATAATATTTTAACAGTGCATTTATTGAATCTTCTGTAAACAAATATTTAATTCAAATAATAATTATATTGTAATGGAAAATGTGCAGTCTCGAGGCTTTTCTGGCACAGATTTCATCCATCTTCGATGTAGTGCAAACGTGCAATGTGTAGTTAATTGCTTTGAGAGGTGCGCAGGTATGCGACTGTGCGAAGACAGCACTGGACCACACCTGTGCGTTCATCACAGAAGTATAAATCCGCATTAACAGTGGCTATGACTCCACATGCTGTAAGGAAAGTAACTGAAAAAATTGACTTGGTGAAATTAGATTGATTATCGGTTATCTGAATATCAATTATTTTTTCAAGAATCGCCCAGTCCTACATAGTATTTGTTTTTCCTACTATAGAAATCAGTGGATACAGGATTTCCGCATTGAGTATCTTTGACCTTAACTTTCTTTCTTTCCTTTGCGCTGTTGTCATTTTTCTAACAGGTGGTTAGAGTTCGGCCCAATGACAAAGATGCCAAGATGAAGTACCAGGAATGTAATAAGATTGTCAAGCAGAAGGCCTTTGAACGGGCCATCGCCAGCGACGAGCTCAAACGATCAGTAGTCGACTCCTTAGACATCGAGAACATGAGTAAGTCCTTAACACAGGCTTTTCATTTTGGTAACACTGGTTTCACAGTGTTTTGGGTACATTTTACACAACATACTGTAGTAGTACATATAATTACGATTTATATGATCAAAAATTGCGATTTACAGTGTGATGTACTACCATGTCATAAAAGAGCTTCATGTTTGATGTGGTGGATTTAACAGCACCAAAGAAAGACTAAAAGTGCGCTACTGTTTATTTAAAATATTAAACATTTCTGGTAAACATTGCTGCCATTTTTCCAATAAAGTTGTCAGTTGACATGATGAATTAAAATAACTACAGAATTTTACATTCCATTAAATGAATTAAATAATTTTTAAAATATTTCTCAAATAATGTTTAACAGAGCAAGGAAATTTTCACATCATGTCTGATAATATTTTTTCTACTGGAGAAAGTCTTACTTGTTTTATTTCGGCTAGAACAAAAGCAGTTTTTATTTTTTAAAACACCATTTTAAGGACAAAATTGTTAGACCCTTAAAGCAATAAAAGCTACGGAACAAACTACAGTTATACAATGACTTGCCTAATTACCATACCTTGCCTAATTAACCTAGTTAAACCTTTAGATTATACTTCAGAATAAATTGCAAGTCAGAATTATTAGACCTCCTGTATATTTTTTTCTCCCAATTTCTGTTTAACTTAGAGCAGATTTTTGTCAACACATCTCTAATTATAATAGTTCTGACTTCAATTGTATATACTAGGGAATCCCAGTACAAGTTTTTTTTTTTCTTTGTCTCTCAACAGCAATTGAGGACGACTATGCGGGACCTAAACTTGAAGATGGGAAGGTTACGCTGAAGTTCATGGAAGACTTGATGGATTGGTTCAAAGACCAAAAGAAACTGCACAGAAAGTGTGCTTACCAGGTATGTGCTCCTCAAATGCTGACGTACATTACAATATCCATTCAACACTCATTATTTTATTACGTCATTGTAATTTATTGGTTTTCTATTAATCTGCATTGCCACGGTTTTGTAATGAACCAGTACTATTTTTAAACTTAGTTTAAAAGTTAGCAGTAACACTTTAGTCTAGGTCACAATTCACTGAATTAACAAATAATTATCTAAAGCAGTGGTTCTCAAACTGTGGTAATTGTACCTCTAGTGGTACTCGGGCTTACTTCTAGTGGTACACGAAGGAATCGCAGAGTAATGAAAGAAAAAATTAATACAGTATTAATTATTTGTTGCGTACGATAACACCGATGCTCACCAACAGCATTGGCTGCTTTCTAAGGCCTACGATCAAAGCGTTGTGCTTAAAATGTTTACTTTAGTGCATCGCGTCATCAGCTGCTAAAAATTAATCCAATTGGTGCAGAACTAAGTGCGTAACTAAGGCGCAAGCAGCACGACGCGCTTGTGTATTCCAGGCGTCCCTAGTTGAAAACATCTTAACTTTTCAGAGTGCCGCACCGCGAGTCACGGGACAAGAACCGACCTATCAGCATCATATTTTGTATGGAATATAATTTTGGTAGACTAATTATCTCAGACAAACACAGAACACCCAAACACTGCAGTGCTTTTTAATTTTCTCCATAAATAAAACTTGTTTCAGAGTGCAGCAGTGTTGTCGGCTTGACATCCTCTGAGAACAATGGGTTCCCTAGCAATCTACATACAAGTTAATTTTTAGATTTCAAGAAGTTTTACAAATATGCCATATGTACATGCAACATATATTTCAAAATGTATCAAAACTTCTAGAAATATGAATATGACTCTGCCTCGTTTTGAACTGTGCAGTGCTGTAGCTGCTTAATTTGGCCAACTACGCTACTTTATTTCAATACTGGTCATTATGATGGTACTTGGAGAACCAATTTTTTTTTTTCTGAGGTGGTACTTGGTGAAAAAAATTTGAGAACCACTGCTTTAAAGCATTCATCAATCATTTTTTTTTGTTTTGCAGATACTGGTTCAAGTTAAAGAAGTTTTAACCAAACTTCCTAGTCTTGTTGAGATTACATTAAAAGAGGTAAGAGGATGTCCGTTTTACAAGGAAAATCTATTTTGCATTGTTGATGTAGTTTACTTTGATTTCAAATGAATGTTATTAATGTCTTACTTCTTATTTTTCTTGCTGTTTAGTCAGAGAAAATCACTATTTGTGGCGATACACATGGCCAGTACTATGATCTTCTAAATATTTTTGAGCTGAACAGCTTACCATCTCCAACTAATCCCTATGTATCCTTTCACTTTCACTTTTGGACCATTGTATATTATGTGTGAGGGAGTGAGATTGTGTGCAAATTGATTAACAGACGTAGAGTAAAACAACATGTCAGCAGTACCTCCCAATTAAATATCAATATTAATGCTGGGCAAAGACCCAAATATAAAAGATTGTTTTTAAATATGTGTGTATGCATGTATATGAGCAATATCACACGAGTAGCAGTGCCACATGGCAGTATATCAGCACTGGTGGGAGGCGTGAGTTGGCAAGAGGCCGCAGGCCGAGTGCCTTAGTGTCCCACCACTGACGATGTACAGCCATATCAAACTGCTACTCATGTGATACTGTGTTTATACAACAGTTCGATAGGATAATCGTGTATATTTAAAAAATCAAACATGGAGAGTCTAAAACCCTTTTGATTTCTCCTCTGTTTTTGAGGTGATAAGTAATCCTTTTACAGTATAAGTCTGATTTGGTCCAAACAAAGTGAATTATGTTTGATCAAACAAAAGAATAGTGAAATATGAACACAATGATCGCTCTCTGTGGCTTGTACAGCGCCTCTCATCAGTTGGAATACAATAACTTTCGCATAGATTATGGTGGAGACATTTTCCTTTTTCCTATGATTACAGACATGTGCAGGAACCACCGACATTAATTACAGCACGCTAGACCACACACAACCTAAAAGGCACACTTTCACATTTGAGTTTATAAAAAAAAATACAAAAGCGCTTCTTATTTTAGGTGTTTATTATAACACAGACAACATATACAGATATTTTAAACACTTTCAATAGTGTTTTATGAAAATTCAAAGTTTTTTTTTTAAATGATACCACATTTCTGCATTTACACCTCTGCATGTGGATTTAGTAAGCTTTTAAATTTGGGTAGGCAAAATCCAGGCGGAAATCATAAAATAACAGCGGATTTTAACTTGTTAAAGTGTTTTTTAATAATCAACTGTCCCAGTGTCGTGTGACACAACAAACTGATTATGAAATTCGTTGTCAACACTTTTAGTAATCGATTTTTTCAATTCGTTGTTGCAGCCCTAAAAAAGACAAATCTTGTTTAACCATATTCCAAAAATAACCAAGCCCTGGACAGTCCCAAATCATGTAAAAGAACGTGTCATGCTTAAACCACTGTTAACCAATAGCGACAGCATGGCCTCGGGGGACTTGAAGCTTTTTTTAAACCCCAAGCTAAACTTGTTTATTTGTTTTTCTAACTATAATTCAGTAAACTAGCCTTGATTTTAAGATCTCAGCTGTTCAACGGAGACTTTGTGGACCGCGGATCTTTTTCTGTCGAGGTCATTCTTACGCTTTTTGGCTTCAAGCTGCTCTATCCAGAACACTTCCACCTGCTAAGAGGTGAGCGCTCGCAACATTACAAACATTTGTGCGTGAATGATCAATGGATTACTTAAAAATGTGTGTTTTCTTGTCAAGGTAACCATGAAACTGATAACATGAACCAGATGTATGGCTTCGAGGGTGAGGTAAAAGCGAAGTACTCCTCCCAGATGTTCAAGCTGTTCAGTGAAGTCTTCCAGTGGCTTCCTCTTGCGCAGTGCATCAATGACAAAGTACTGGTAAGAATAAAGCACAGTCATCCCATTGGAAATGTATAGCACAGGTGTCAAACTCCATTCCTGGAGGGCCGCAGCTCTGCACAGTTTAGTTCCAACAATGCTTCAACACACTTACCTGTAGGTTTTAAAGAAGCCTGAAGGGCTTTATTAGTTTGATCAGGTGTGTTTGATTAGGGTTGGAACTAAACTGTGCAGAGCTGCGGCCCTCCAGGAACAGAGGCTGCGTCCGAAACCGCATACTTCCATACTATATAGTACGCTAAAATCAGTATGCGAGCCGAGAAGTATGTCTAAATTCATAGAATTTGAAAAACAAAACATCTTTGCGAGGGAACGCAAAACTTTGCAAAGGAATGCAAAACATCTTTGCGAGGGAACGCAAAACATCTTTGCGAGGGGATGCAAAACATCAAACATCTTTGCAAGGGAATGCAAAACGTCTTTGCGAGGGAATGCAAAAC